CCAAAAAATAGTCATCGGTCACATTTAAGAGCAATAATGGCTCTTGATCACAGTAGATAAGGCGTGGAAAACAAATTCTTGGAAAACAAATCAGACCAAATTTTTTGCGTTCGACAAGTTTACAAATTCTTGCCAACAAATCTGGGTGCGTGCAAACCAATCTTTTATTTTTTTTTTTTTATACACCACATCTGAGGGGAAAGAGTACTATGAGGCGCTGTTTTTATCATACAGACCTCGTACAAAACGGAGTATTTCACAATTTTTCAAGACAAATTGCATTCATTCAATATTCATGACCATCGAAGCACCCGTGGACTTTTAATTAGCGAAACCGTTCAAAAAGTTTCCAAAATCACTATACAGCCGGCCGGTTCTAACTTTTAACAAGCGCCAAATTTGCGAAGAAATTTTAAAAGAGTTACCCTTCAACGTGATAAAGAATGTATTGATTCTATTTTTTATTAATGGTTTTATAACGATGTGTAATCTTAAAAAGCGTTTGAAACGCTTGGCATTTTGAGTACTCCTGCAAGCGATGTTTATGAACGGCTGAAAACAAACGGCAAAGCGATGAAAATGACACTTTTGAGACTACCAACAATCAATAAAGAAATATAATTCGGTAGAGCATTTACAGAGACAACAATTTTCATTCACGAAAACAAATGAGTATTTAAGTGTCTCTAAGAATCCTCAAGTCCAGTGATGCCAACTCTCCCGCTTTTGGCGGGAGACTTACGCTTTTTGCCTCGTCTCGCGCTCTCCCGCTTTGGTACATAAATCTCCCGGTTTTTACGTCCACTATAAATATTGAATACTTAGTAAAAAATAAACAAGACTTAGTTTGAGATTTAGCCCATTTTTGGCTCCAAACTTGAATTTTTCTTATTCGCAGTACGGTTTCTGGGGCATTTTTGCACGTATTCAGTCATTGACAAAGATTATTTCTAGCATCAAAACGGTGATTTCGAATTTTGATAGTATGTACATCATATAAGACGTCATATAATGTCCTAAGTCATTCCCATTGGGGGCTGGGTCAATTTTTCGGGGGGTGGGGGGTGGGGGGGTTTCGTTGAAATTCCCGGGGGGGTACTAAAAACAAGACAGTCTCCCGATTTTAGGTCTCCAGAGGTTGGCATCTCTGCAAGTCTTTACTAGTAAGCTTAAAGATTACGTTTATGTTTTAACCCGCCGGTTTCCTAATGTTTGAAATTTTCAAAGATGAACTCACGACAAGAAAATCGCCCAAAGTTTTCTTTCTACTGCCAAAATTATAACTAAATGTTCTTCGGAAAGTTTTTTCTTTCTATTTACGGTGAATTAATATCGACTAAAGACTTTTTAAAGCCGAGTCTGTAAGCTTAAGCTTATATCAAACCTCCTGATACTAGGCAGCTGACTAGGTCAGATCAGTGTCTCAGTCAAATCTTAATACAAATTAAACGTGCATTAACTAGCTTCATAAACTGCGCCGCTGGACTTCATGAAATTACATTTAAATTCAATAATTACTCTGGCTAACCATATTTCGCGATCCAGCTCCTGAAAGCTATCAAGTAAGGCAAGGATCGCTTGAGCCTTTATAATTCTCGTACGCATCCAGCAAGGTGAAAAACAAAAACGATGCCATCCGAAATCGGATTGTCGGCTTTGACAAGCGACGCATTTCTCAACCAAAAACCCAATAAACAAACCAGCCATGAATAAGAGAACACTCTTGATAGCAGCTGTATTTCATTTTGTACCTCTAGTGGAAAAAGACAGTTAAAAACATCACAAGTTGACTCAAAACTCTATCAGCTTCAGCTGTCAAAGTTAACAACTTTCAAGATGCTGCATAAATTTTACGCATGAACTCACCTGTCAAATTTTAACCAATCAGAGCATAAAAATTGGACGTGGAGCGTGACCAACACGTAACCATGGCTTCCCCGCCTGTATTTTAAAAAACTGGCTGAATTTTTGCGTCCGAGGTCAGTTTGAAATCAAAATCGTAATAGTACGGGGCAATACTGACATAAACACAACATATTTGATATGAACGGAACAACAAGCCCACCACCGTCACTGTGAAAGATCCAGCTCACTTAATCAGCCTATTGTCGGATGCTGCCCTCAACGTCAGTACTCTGCGATTGTGCACCGATGACATTTTGGAAGCCGTGTACACCAGTGTGTATGACAATGCGGTCAAAGGCACCAAGACCAATGTCTTCATAGCCGCCTTCACCACCTGTCATGCACAGCTCAAACTCTAAGAGTCCCTAGACATCCTCCAAGAGCAAGTCCTTTACTGTGACACCGACAGTGTGGTGTAGAAATGGCGCCCCGATCAACCTTCCATCGCCATTGGCGATTTTATCGGCGACATGACGGATGAACTGGATGGTGACGTCATTACTGAGTTCGTTTCCGGGTTTGCTAAAAATTACGGTTACAATACACGCGTGGGCAAAGTAGTCTGCAAGGTCCGTGGTTTCACTCTAAATGTTCGCGGTTCTGCAGTTCTCAATTTTGAAACCATGAAAGACAATATTTTGGCAGAATTAGACAACACGCTGGACTATCGTCGCACTCTGCATGTGGTGACGTCCTATTATTTTCAAAGGGATTTGGAGAACAAACGTATCAAAGTTATGCCGAGTGTCATACAGTATGGATTGATCTTCGACAAGCGTGTCATCCAAACAAACACTAAATCCAGTTATCCCTATGGTTACGAGCGAATCGGGAAGAAAGAAGAACTCTTGCTGAATTTGCAAAAAAAAATGGAGGGCGTGACGTCATTAGGACCTCACATATGTCCCGGATGTAAATAGCGTATGGATTCGAGATTGCATTAAACCAAAAAGGTGATTTTTATTTCCAATAAAGCGCTTTTTTTACTTCCGGTGATGTGAGGGGTCTGGGGATTCTTTTTTAGTGTTTTCGCATGCGCGGTAGGTCTATGCGGAAATGGGTTCATATGAATGCAGGGGACCTGAGGAGTATTTTGGTGGTCTGCACATGCGCAGTGGGGTCCTGGGGCCAGCTAAAACAATAGATCCTTGGCTACCCTTTGATTGGTTACAACCCAGCTGGCTACTGGGGTCACGTGTCTAAAACCCTGCGTCAACTATGTGAATTAGGTCATGTGACCAGAAAAAACCAACAGTTCCAGTGTCTTTGCTGCTTTCTGATTGGTCAGTACTTATTGTAGCCACTATTGCTACTTGCGTTAGTCATTTTCAGAGTAAGGAAAGAGGAAAGAAAAAGAAAGAACTGCAGTGTTTACGTCGTCTGTAAAACGCTCCGTAAGGCAATTTCACTTTGTAGTTGTGCATTGACTGTAAGGAAATGTACAAAAAAAGTGTGCTGCACGTGCAGTATTAAGGCTACGACCACACGGCAACGGACGAATTTTCGACCGGTGGAAATATTCGTGCATGTTTAAAAGTGTTGCGCTCACACTGAACTACCTCCGTACGAGAATTTAGACGCCAAACGGTCCAAATTAAAGTCGCGTGTAAACGAAACTAAAATATTGAGCGGTCTCGTGTGTACCAAGCTTGTTTGCCATTTACAAAACGTTTCCGGAAAAAAACCGGTTGGGAGGTAAATGGAACTCGACTTTTTAGGTCGTTCAAACAGAAAACCTCCGCGGGAGCAACGGGACATCTGAAAAGATAGTCCGGTTTTTTTCGGACGGAGTGGTCCAAACAGAAATTCGTGTACATGTTCCATTTCTTCAAAGCCATCTTTGATACCAGTTTCGGGCCTTTGTAGCCGTTTTTCGGTACATGGAACTGATTTGTACAAAAAGTAAACGCGCTTCCGGGACGAAATTTACCAGTCCTGAATTTTACTTACCATTTGCCCAAGCCATGAACCAAGCTCCCTGTATCATTTGGGCGGGAGGCTAGTTTGGGGGTTGTCTCTTATAAGCAGGGGATGACAAGAAACGTTTTAAATCGAGTCCAACGAAATGAGCGCTGAGGTGGGAATAAAGTCATTTTATTCACTTTTAACAGATACTATATGAATAATAGCATTCCTTTATCAACAAGGGATAGATCCCGTGTCAATTAATGTTCTAAAAGAGGCAAACGCAATTAACTGTTCCTTTTTTAAATCTAAAAAGTTCCTACATTTTGCGTCAAAAAATGTTACATTTCGCATAAGTTTGCTACATCTTTACGTTAAAAGTTATTAAATTTCGGTTTTATACCATTTGTTGTGTAAAACGTTGTTACATTTCGCGGTATAAATGTTACATTTTTGCGTTATTTTGTACATTTTGCGGCTTAACAAAGCTCCCTTTTTAGCTCGACTTTATCTTGCATGGCTCCAATAAGGAAGAATCGTTAATGGACCACCCACAAGGAAGGCAATATCTAGAAGTCTAAACAAGCAATGCTAAGGCCCCTTAAAGGAGCTGTGCCACGAATTGTATCAATATTTAGACCGTCGTACCTATCACCTTTTAAGTAAAACATTAAAATAAGCGCTTCAAAAGTTAGAAGAAGGTATAAATGACACAGCAAATACAAAGGGAAGCAGGGATGGACAAACTTCAAGACGATTGAAAGGGAATTCAAGTGTGGTTTTTGAAACCTTGCTCACCTAACAGTTTTTCAAAGTTCATTTTTGCTGTTTTTAACCATGGATACAATGCTTAGGAGACATATTTTGTATGACACGCAACTGTGATTTTGTCATTCACAGGTTTGTCAAGTATTTTAGCGAATATAGACCCGTAGATGGCATTATAGCCTCCCACGCAGGCGTTTTTAGGGGAGCTCGTTTTTCGTCCCTACCCTCCCCAAGAAACGCTTGCGTGGGAGGCTAATGGCATTAGAGACAATATCTAGAAACAAAATGAATTGGACAGCGGTGACACAGCCACTTTAAAACAAATCTAAACTTTGGATAGCAGTTGGATTTAATGTGACTTAACTTCCTTTATTGTTTTGATTTATCTGGCTTAATACTAAGGAACCCTAATATTGGGCTAACTAACCGTAACACTTGAATTTTCCAAGGGTGTGATAGCCTTTCTCTGGTGAGTTACCTGTGTCCCCAAACCTTAACTCTATCACAGGAAGTTGGGATTTCTCAGTAAGGAAACCGCTGTCCTCGCGCCACGTGTAATCATTCTTGTCGCAGTTACATCCAAAAGAGGGGTGTGCGCACGAGTTTGGCGACGTCACCCCACAAGCGCACTTTTTGTTATCACCTGGCTTAGCTCCACCCCAATAGAACATTCTTTGATTGTGACGTGATACCCACCAGCACCCAGCATATCTGAAAAGAGCGGCACCATGGCATTCATACTTAATAAACTGTTCGCAGTGAATGGAAACATCTGCTAGGCCTGCTAACTGTGCCACGCCGATAAGCCCCGTTGCATTGTAGGTGATATGTTTCACGTAACTCCCTGGTGCTTCGTATCCAACAACTAGCGTTCTAGCTTCGCTGTCGTGACCTACCACGGTCACACCAACACCGTTTTTGTCAGTCATGTCACAAAAGACATTAAAAGGTTCATTGCCTCCATCGCCATCAGGGTCGATGACGTAAGAGCCACTCGTGGCCTGCGGACTTCGAACTTTAATGTCACTGCAGCTTCTATCTGGATAATTAAGCGAAAGCAGATGCAATTATTAGATTAAATTCACCGAATGTTATTGTTGTTGTTGCTTGGCTTATATTCTGAGACCTAGTAACGCCAACGCCCCAGTATCAGGAGATCTTCCTTCCCGTGAGAGACATAAGGAGCGTTTTCACTCACATGGCCAGCAGCTATGCAAATTTATTGCTAGTTTTCACATAACGTCCTCAAATTTTCAAACTAAAGAATTATCGATCCTCCTGAAGTTTTACTTTGATGAAGTATTAGAGCAGCTAAAACTCTATACTGTATTTATACAAATTTTAAATTTTGCTTTGCCTGGGAGGAGACGAAAAAGTAGGGGGATGTTTTCTCTTTTTTCGGCATTGCGAAGCCGAAGAAAATGTTTGTATATACGCGGCTCAAGTCACCCGTGCGAAAACGATTAAGAAAAAGACGCGGGACTGGTTGATTTCGAAAACTGTGCGCACCTCTGGAAAGATTCTAGCTCACCTCCGGTAATGTCACTCCTATTTCTTAGCTGTCGATTAATTCTTTTGATCACAGATCTCAACTATCAGTTAAAAACAAACTCAAAACTGCCAGTTAAATCTCATCTGAAAAGGCCCCAGGCAAGGTGGGCTTTGCACTTATTAATCTTAAAGGAGAACTTTTACGATTAATAATTATGTCAAACATAGTTAATAATCGTGAAAACCACGATTGATAACTACGTTTGACAGGCTTTGTAGTTGTTAATCGTGTTTGGCAGGCTTTGTAGTTATTAATCGTAAGATTGTCAATTTCTCCAGTAAAGCTAACTTAAAAGCTAATGGCCACCATTACAGAAAAAAAAAAACAAACAAACTCAAAGTCCTTTTTTCACTCGGCAGCGTTCAAGTCGGTGTTCAGATTACAGCAACAACAAACAATCGGTTTTCACTTTTCTGGCTGAATGTTAGTCTGCTAGACAGCCGTTTTTAGTGTCGTCACGCAACGTTCCTCCCCACTAACGGCTGCTGAAAATCGAACCACATTTCTTTTCCCTTTGTGTTGGTGGTCTAACGAACAAACCAATGCTGAACCTGACAATACGTTAGCCTCAGGGTGCTAGGAGCGAACACGCTTCTCAGTTTTCGACAAATCAATCAATTGTCGCTGAGTTTTGATGGGCTCTGTGTCTGCAAGGAACGAAAAGGTCATTTGCAGAAAAGTTTGTTTTAAGCGGGTAACAAAATTCCAAGTGAAAAAAAAAAGGTTTGATAGGCCTACAAGACTCTTACCAGCATCAGTTGGTTCTTTTTAACGTGCATATGTGTGATGAATTTCATGTGCCGGATGTGCTCATTGTGTTGTTTTACATGTGAAGACTGTGAAGATTAAACTCTCAGTGGTACTGATTCAAACAAAAGCAATCTTATAAATCATCGATTAGCGATTTCCCGAAACTATACCCGGCAACTTTATAAGCACATCCATGTTGTGCATCATATTTGCTCGCCTTTCTTGCTGTTGCTGCTTTTCTCGAAAATTTTAAAAGGACTCGACTACGCCAACACTACTCTAGTTGATTGCTTGTTTTCACGCGTCGATTTTGATTGTTCTGTCATTCACACATGGGGCACCGATATAAGCAAAGCTGTGATTGAAGGAGTCACCATACCGCAAACGTGGAGCGAACACCTTCCAGAAAATGGGAGCTGAATTCTAATTGGCTAATCCCGGGAAAGGAATGTGGTTCGATTAGTGAGGAGAAGCGTTGCGTGATGACACTAATAACGGCATGGTAGAAGACTAGCTGAATGTCAATATTAAAAGCTTCACAAAACTACATAGCAAAAAACTTTTCGAGAGGTCAGAGCTTCCATTCAGCTTCTTTTTTGATCGATTTTTTGTCTACGAAA